TTTTTTTTTTGCTTTTTATTAATTTAATAGCTAAAATACAATTAATTCTTAGATTTTGCAACTGCGGAAAAAACTTGATTGATGCCAAAACTGATCGGTTGTTCTGCGTGTAATGATTGGCGTTCTCACGTTTAATGACAGTGAGAATTTATTTTTGGTAAACAAAACCTGTGATTAGAACAGATTAACTATTATTGCTCGTTTCCTCAAATTCATCTGTCAAAATGTTCGACACCAAGGTTCGTTCAACGTTTCTACAACCATAAAGCATTACTATTAGCGTCTGTAAAATGAGTTTACTTTTTATTTTTCTGTGTGTTTCCTATGTTTAGTGCAAGTTATTATCGACAGAATTCATGGCATCAAAAAACTAGGAAGGAAAAAGCACCATACTCTGTTTTTATAAAAAACTATTTTAGGAGATTGATATTGGGATGAATATGACGGCAGTTCATAAACCCTACGACTTGGCGATGGATGTACAAGCATCGTTGATGAACAGTGGCCCGCTGACCACCAATACGCCAACAATTGTTACCGCGCCATTGATACAACATCGAAATTCGGCGCCTCCAGATTTGAGTCCGACACTTCAACCAAATTTGAAAGTTATTGTTGATAATCAGAAACCATTTGCTGATGCGTTGACAGCAATACGTGTATCTGGTGATTGCTCATCGTTAAAACTACCACTTTCAGTACCTGAAGTCGTTAGCCCTTCAACAAATTCGTTGTCCACTACACAGAATATTGGTAAGTATCGCCGTTGAAAGCAAACAAAGTTTAAGTTCTGGTAACTGAGTTTTACTAACAACTTTTTTACTCTTTAGTCGAATCTTCTCTTTTTCATGCCTTTCAACTATTTTCTTGTTCCACTTTTTGGTTTTTTCTTTTTTTTTCTTTTACTGTCGGAAAGAGAAGTTAAGAAATCATGAAGTTGTTTAACTGTTTGACGCTGTAGTTAATTGAAAGAATAACACTTCTTGCTTAGCTTCCTAATTCCTCATATCATCAGCATTGTTTTCAACTCCAAAAACTACAGAAATAATCTGCAGAAATGACAATTTAGCCGTATCTGATACATTCGTAACATTTTCCGTTTTTCCAACTATTGAACACAGAGTCCTAAGCTTTCTTTTTTTCTCCTCCTCAAAATTTATTTATGTTGGCTGTGACAGTTATATTAGCAGTTCCACAGACGAAAAAGCACTTCATGATTTCTGCTTTTTTGAGCACATT